TCGCTTGTTAAAGGTTTGTTGTTCTAGCTGTTATTTTGTTTTTTGTCCTTATTTCCAAATTCAAGGTGTGTTTCAAAGTTGGGCCTAAATTCCTTCACCTCACCTCTTGGGAGGAAAACCTATGCTGTTCACAAAATTACTTGTACTTAAGCGCTGTGATGCCTCAAAGGCCCCTCGCAGCCTTTGACCGGCATTCCCGAGCGGTTGTTCCATGCCAGCCTGACCTGGAGGGGATGATGAGTACCATAAGGGGGTGTCTGGTTGCTGCAGGGGTCCAGAAGTTGAAGTGGCTATGACCTGAGAGGAGTGGAGGGCTTCCTGGAGGAAGGGACATCTGAGTGGCATCTTGAAGAAGGAATAGGAGACGGTGAAGAGTCTCTGGTTGGCGGCATGGCTTGAACAGAGGCCTGGTGGTTTAAAGGGAACTGAGTGTGAAGAGGAGGTGGGGAGAGGAGGCTGCAGGTAGATACAGGAAGACTTTACCTGAAGGCCCGGGGGTTCAGCAAAGCCTTGATCCAGGGGAGGGATGTGGTGAGATTTGTTTTTGTTAAAATCTTTATTGATGAGAGTATTACAGATGGCCCCCTTGATCCCCCTTATTGCCCCCCTCCACTGAGTTCCCACCACACCCCACGCCTTCACCGCCCTATTGTCTGTGTCCATGGGTTATGCACATGTGCATATACTAGTAAGATCTTCACTCCCCACTTCCTTCTGAGATTGGTCAATCTGTTCCATGTTTCCATACCTTTGGTTCTATTTTATTCATAAGTTTATTTTGTTCATTAGATTCCTTGTTCACTTATTTTTATTTTTAGATTCAATTGTTGATAGGTATGTATTTATTGCCTTTTTATTGTTCATGTTTGTTACCTTTTTTTCTTCTTCTCCTCCTTCTTCACCTTTCCCTTCCCCTTCCCCTTCCTTTTCCTCTTCCTCTTTCTCTTCCTCTTCTTAAAGAATACTCTTCAACATTTCATATAATACTGGTTTGATGGTGATGAACTCCTTTAGGTTTTTCTTGTCTGTGAAGCTCTTTATCTGACCTTCAATTCTAAATGATAGCTTTGCTGGGTAATCTTGGTTGTAGGTCCTTGCTATTCATCACTTTGAATATTTCTTGCCACTCCCTTCTGGCCTGCATAGTTTCTGTTGAGAAATCAGCTGACAGTCGTATGGGCACTCCCTTGTAGATAACTGCTTTACTCTTGCTGCTTTTAAGTTTGTCTTTAACCCTTGGAATTTTAATTATGATGTGTCTTGGTGTGGGCCTTTTTGGGTTCATCTTGTTTGGGATTCTCTGCACTTCCTGGACTTGTAAGGCTATTTCTTTCACCAGGTAGGGGAAGTTTTCTGTCATTATTTCTTCAAATAGGTTTTCAATATCTTGCTCTCTCTCTTCTCCTTTTGGCACTCCCATGATGTGAATGTTGGTACACTTGAAGTTGTCCCAGAGGCTCCTTACACTAACTTCATATTTTTTCTTCTTTTTGCTCTTCTGATTGGGTATTTTTATTTCCTCATCTTCCAAATTGTTGATTTGATTCTCAGACTCCTCTACTCTACTGTTGAATTGCTGTAAATTATTCTTTATTTCAGTTAGTGTATGCTTAAATTCTGACTGGTCCTTTGTCGTGTCTTTGAAATTCTCACTAAGATCCTTGAAAGTCTTATTAAGTACCTTGAAGCTCTCATTAAGATCCTTGAGCAGCCTTATAATCATTGTTTTGAACTTTGTATCCAGTAGTTTGCTTGCTTCCATTTCATTAGGTTCTTTTTCTGGAGGTTTCTTCTATTCTTTCATTTGTGACATGTTTTTTGGCTCTACATTTTGGCTGCTTCCCTGTGTTTGTTTCTATGTGTTAGGTAGAGCTGCTATGTCTCCTGGAATTGGTAGAGTGCCCTTGTGTAGTAGGTGTCCTGTAGAGCTCAGTGGCTCAGCCTCCCCAGTCACCTGAGCTGGTCACTCTAGGTGCACCTCTGTGTGGGTTGTGTGCACAGTCTTTTTGTAGTTGAGCCTTGATTGCTGTTGGTGTCACTGGGAAGAATTGACCACCAGGCTAGTTGGCTGTGAGGACCAGCTGCAACTACAGTGGAAGAGCTGATGTGCAGGAGACACCCCTATGGAGCAGGACTTGCTTCAGTGAGACGTTGGTGCTCACTGGGTCTGCCCCTTGAGTGTGTCACTTGTGGATGTGTAGAGTTGTAATCTGGTATGGTCTGAAGCTATCCACTGGGTGCACTGGCTCTGGGGCCTCCCGAGAGGTGCAAAGTCAGCCACTGCCTGGAGCCACCTGACAGGAGCTACAGAGAGATCTGCAGATGGCTGCTACTTGTATTGGGCTTGGAAGTGTTCAGGCGAGGCCTGGCTGTGAAACAAGGCAGGCAGTGCTAGTGCCAGGTCTGGGGCCTCTTATTGATAGGTATGTGGCACATGGACGCCAGCTGCTACTTGTTTGAGAGAGTTTAGGAAAGTCTTGAGATTTGGTTTTGAGAAAGGGTCCTGGCTGTCAGATGGGCGGTGACCTGGGGTGGGGGCAAGGTGGTGTGGAAGGTGCCCAGCACTAACCCAAGATGGAAGAACGCTTGGTACAGAGTAGCCAGCTGGGAGAGGCGGTGCTGGTTAGGTCTTTGGTGGTGAAACAATGGCCATTACAGCTGATCAGATGTGTGGGGGACTGGGGAGGAGGAAGGTGACTCAAAGGTACAGCTCAAGTGACTGGGGCCAGGCTAAAGGAGCAGAGAAGGTGGAGCAGGCCCAGGCCATTCAGACAGTCAGAGTCTGAAAGAACAGATTTTACAAGTAGTCTTGAAGGATCAGGTAGTGATCTGGAATCTTGAGATCAAAGGGAACTCCATCACATACCAGAATCCTCAGAAGACGTCTTTGTCCCCATTTGCCGTGGGTGTCTGGACAGGGAGTTTGAAGGTGGCGAAAGCGGCCAGGCTGTTGTGTGCAGACCACACTGGGAGGTGCTGCTCACTCGGCCAGCCAGCGGCCCTGGGAACCGTCTTGCATGCATCACACCGTGCCCTCGTGCACTCCAACTTTTACTTGGAAAGACACCGAGTAGGGTGCAGATTTGAGAAATGAGATTCTGGCTCCTACAGGTGATTTAGCCTTGAGGCCCCAGGGATGGAGTGACCACTGCCTTCCGTTCTGCCACTCTGTGGTCCACGAGCCCTCTACCAGGGCGGAACCTTCCACGGGCTGCGGACCCGCCCGCCTCCCTCCCGGGACAGCCACCACGGCCTCCTGAACTCCTTCCAGTTGTCACCCATTTTCTTTGTTTCTTTTATGGCAAAGCTTCCTGAGAGATGGCTTCTGTTTCCACACTCGTCCCAGGCCCTTCCTGACCCCACCGGACCCTGGTCACCCCGTGTGGCTGAACCTGCAGCTCGACCTCATCTTCCTAGTCTTGACCTCATTTCCTGTGGCCGAGGTGATTGTTCCTTCCTCTTCCTGAAGACATTTCTCCTGGTGTTTGGGCTTTTCCCTCCTCCCCTCCCCTCACTGGCCATTCCTGCTCACTCTCCTTGGCCGGCTTCTGATCTGGAAGCATTGCCTGCCCTGGGCCCACCATATTCCCATCTCTAGCTCCCACTCCTCCCCTGAGCTCCAGCCTGCATCTCCAGCAGTTTCTGGGGGTCTTAATAGGCATCTCACAGGTTCATGGCCCAACCGCGCTCCTGACCTATGCCCCGGACCTGCTTCCCACCCGGTGCTCCATCTCAGCAAATGGCACCGCTGCTCATTCATCCAGCTGCTCCGTCAAAATTGGAGCCATCTTTGACATCTCACTTTTTTTTGAAAAATGACTTTCACATTTCTATTCTGTGACATCCGATACAAACGCTGAGTCAGCCGCATGTGCGAGTGATGAAGCATATTAGTGAAGCGCTTGCTGTGACCCACCGCCAGCAGGGAGCGTTCCCGTGCCTGCACCCCTGGGTGCTCCTCCCTAGCCATGACCCCTCTTTCCGTCACAGCCGCACCCAAGCTCTCCCAGGTCCTGTTGGCTCTGCCTGCAGAGCACATCCGCGGGCCACCACCTCCCTCCAACCCAGGCCACCATCGTAGCTCCCGGGTCACTGCAATAGTGCCCCTTCCTCCCAAACTTGCTCTCCACACAACAGCAGAATGACCCCTTTTCACGATGAGTCACTTCCTGTCCCCCCTCCAGGGCCTGTGCTCACCTCCTTGCTGCTGCTCACACAAGCCAGGCCCTCCCACCCAGGCCCCTGGTTCTGGCCTCTGCCCCGTGGCTGTCCTGGGCTCCTTCTGACCTCACAGGGGCAAGCCCCTCGCACGCTGCCCCATCCTGCAGCTCTGCTTTCTCTTCCCAGGGCCCTTCTCTAGCTGGAGCTAAACACACATTGACTTCCCCTTACTTATTATTGTCTCTGAGTAGAATGTAAGCTCCATGGACTGTGTTGTGTCTTCTGCACCAGGCACGGTGCCGGCTGCATGGTAGGGGCTTAAAGATCTATTGACTGAGTGTGTGTGCGTGAATAAATGATGGAAAATGTGAGGATGAATGAGTGAGCGGACATGCACATGAATACATGAAAGATGGAGCCTGGTGAGCAGGGAAGGGACAGGAAATGAGGGCTTTTTTCCTGGACCCCCACGCCGTTGTTTCTCGATTTCTTTTCTCTCCTGTGATTCTGAGTTGGAGAAAACTGTGATGCTGACTTCATATCTCAATGCAGTTCTCCTCGCTGCTCACCACTCGGCGGCAGGAACTGACTTGTTGCTTAGGTTTTAAAATCTGGGGTAAAAATAATGAAAACGTGCACCTGTTGTCCGTGAGGTCGTTCAAAGACCAGATGAGTCTCAGAACTAATAATCCTCAAAATTAATTAAACCCTCCTTCCCAATTATGAGAGAATGGAGCGGGTTGCTGTCGCGGTGGTGGCGGCGGGGAATCTGGGTCGGCGCTCCCGGCTGGGTCTGGGGCAGCGTTGGTGAGTGTCTTTGTCTTCTCTTTAGGGCTGCCACCAGGACCATGAGCAGCTAAGATGGACACATCCGCCTCAGCCTCCGCGGAGAAAAAAGAAGGCAAGAGTGCGATCCCGGAGGGCGCTGCTTTCCCCGACGCGGGCAGGAAGACCTCTGCTCTGGCTGTGGCCGCGGCCGCAGCGGCTGCCCAAGGAGGTACCTTCTATTTTGCACACTTGGAGGGCAGCAGGGGTCTCCTTCATTAGCCCGTTAGGGTTTCATTGGACTGGTGGCCCATGTCATCGGGCAGGCGTGCTGGGTTTATGGAGGGTGAAGAGGAGGGCGCCCTGCTCCCGGATCCTAGGCACTGTGACGGGTGCCTGCAGGCTTTCCCGAGGTCTGGCCACCCCGATCGGCAGGGGGACTGGGCCGGCTCAGACTCCAGCAGGAGAGCCTGAGAACTCAGAGGGGAGGGGGGAAGGGAGGCCGGGGGCTGCTGGGCAGCCCTGGGGTGTGTTCACTTGGCACATTTGAGATGTGCCAGACACTGCTCCTGCCTCTGGCCCGCAGGGACTCTTTTAGAAGTAATTGTCTCTTGATCCCTTCTGGCTGTAATTAGAGGGTCAGGTACAGAATTTAGTATCCTTAGGTGAATTTCTGGCCAACTTAATTATAGCAGAAGGATTATGGAGCCACAGCCTCTCATTTTACTGCCCCGGAGAGTAGGAGAGAAATACTCTGCTTTCCACTGGCCGTGCCAGCGCCCCGGTGGGAAAGTTTGGCGGGAAGGCGAGACCTCCCCTTGTGTCTGCGCCGTCCATCTGGAGGCCACAGAACTATTTCTGTCTCCGAGGAATGGAGAGACTTGGATTTCTTTTCTTTCCCTTTTATTCAAGTGCATTTAGTCACGCCCTGTTGCCCTCGCTGCTCAAGCACAGCTCGGCAGCAGCGGGACAGTCGCCTTGGCCAGCGGGACCGACGGGTGGAGTGTGGGCGTCGCCCCTCACTTTGATGTGAGCACAGATGGGTCGCTGTCAGAGTGCAGGGCCCGGCCAGGAAGTTGGGCAGCACAAGGGCCTGCGTTTCTAACCAGCGCTGGGACGGCGTGAACAGGGCGAAGGCCTGAGTTCCTAACTACCTCAGATGACGTGGGGGCTGCTGTCCACGGGTCACGCTGGCGCAGCTCGGGGTTGGAAGCTGGGGAATCGCACGACACTGGGAGGACTCTCATGCGGCGTGGTGTCCAGGAGGCAGACGGAAGGGGAGGGCAGGTCAGCGCCAAGAGCCTGATGGTGGATTGGAGGCTGGCCTCCCGTCCCGGCCTGGCTGTGTCTGCACCTGGCCTGCTCCCTCCTCTGGGTCAGGGCCTGCCCTGCCTGTGGCGATTCCAGCTGTCCCTCTGCCTGATGCACAGGCCCAGGCGCCTGAGGCCTGAGGGAGCTCCAGCAAGCCGGCTCAGCGTGTCTCTGCTGGGCCCTCAGCTGTTTCTCCCTCGCCAGGGCTGAGTGGCTTATGAACTGCCCATGTCATTTACTGCCGTGTCATAGTAGCAGGGAACAGACTTAGGCAGTAGCTGGGGGAAGCCCCTCCGGCATCAGACCTGCTGTCAGTGGTGCAGCAACAACAGGAGCTTGAGGGGTCTAACCTGAGGCGGGGCAGGCAGCTGCCGAGAGCTTGGAGTGCAGCAGCTCCACCAGACACCTACCCTGCTCCACCCCACCTACCCTTACCCCAGGGGGCCGGCCCTGCCCACCTCCAGAGGCCCCTGTCGCCTTATTGCCCAGGGGAGCCCTCCCGGGGATGAGTTCCAGCAGAGGGTGGATGTAACCTGTCAAGCCCCTGGCAGGTGGCTTATGTCATTGGAACCAGCCCACCACGTGGCTCCCTCTGCCCCCCGCCGATCAGCCTGCCGGGGAAGGGCCCTCCTGGAGTCAGGGAGGAGTGGCTGTTCCTGCTGGAGCCAGCAGGGCATCTGGGAGCAGGTCCCTGGTGCCGGGAGACCATGATGCCCACCTTCTGCAGATGGCGTGCGGAGCGCCTGCTGGTGTGGCCTGGGGGGCCCTGGCTACGGTTCTAGGTCAGCAATATCCCTGGGTCCCAGTGTGACAGGCCGCTCCCTTCTCGGGGCCTCATTCTCCTACTCGGGGCATTTGATGGATGTCTCTGAGGTCTGGTGACATTGGAGCTTTACTGCATCCTAGCAGAGGTGGCCGAGGTGCTGTGAGTGACTCATGCATCCAAAGTCTCACTCAGGTCCCTTGCTAGCCAGCTGGTCTCAGCACAGTGGGAATGAGGGAGCGTGACGGTCTGAGGGAGCAGAGGGGACGGAAGGGAGGCGGTGTCCTCGGGGGCAGAGCTTGGAAACCCCGTGTGGAGCTCCTGGGTATGAGGTGGAGCCGTCTCCTTCACCAGCAGTTGGAGCCTCCCCTTTGCCACCTTTCCGTTGTGTGGGGAGGCTGACGTGAGGTGGGGAAGGGACTTGCTCAAGGCCACCAGCCGCTCCAGCAGAGAGCGGGGTCTGGGGCTCAGGGCACAGGGTGGGAGTCTCCTTCCGGTATGTGCTTTTAGACCGTATGAGGTAGGGCCAGTCTTTCCAGGTGTGAAGTATGAATCATACGTGTAGCTGCTCTGTGGTTACAGCAGACATATAATGTGCTTCCGCCTGCCTGGCTCAGGGCACCTCGTGGGTAGTACTGCCCCTGCCGTGCAGCGCAGGGAAGTGGTAGGAAGCAACCCAGACTGCAGCCAGGTCGCCCGACCCTGGGCAGTATGTGCCTCAGTTTTTTCATCTATAGAATGGACATAATAATAGCACCGACTTCATAGTGTTGTCAGGATTACTCGAGGAGCACATGTAAAGTGCTGGGCACATCAGCTGTATCTGAGGTCCAACTTAACTATGAGCTTTCACCAGTTTTTCTCTTCTCGGTCCGTGGGCTGTGCCTTTGAAAGTCTGCCCTTCACTAGCCCTTACTAGCTGACCCACTGAGGCCAGACAGGTGGGGGAGGCTCTGATGTCCGGTGTCTCCCCACTCGAGAGTGGTGGAGGGAGTACAGGGCAGGAGATCAAACCTGGGCCCCAGCCCTTTGCCGCTGGGCCAAGGCTGCCCTGGACACGTGTGCTTGGCGGCCCCGGGCCTCTTGCACTCATCCTTCTCCCCTGCACCCTGAGGTGGAGCAGCCCAGAGGTCTGAAGCTGGCCTCGCCGTGGAATCTCAGGAGACAACTGTAACAAACGCAGATTCCAGGCCACCCAGACCTGCAGAGACAGGGCCTCCCGGGCCGGGGCCTGGCCACGTGCATGTGTGACAGGCTTCTCACTTGCTAGATGCAGCTGGACTGGACCCCGGGACGTGGCGTGACCTCACGGTCACAGGGCTGAGCACAGCGTGACTCGGCGGAGAGCTCCCTCGCTGCAGGAGGCCTCTGTGCCCCCGGAAGCCACACCGCCACTGTTTTGTTCACTGGCTCTGCAGCTTCTTGGCAAATTTCTTTGAGGTGCATCTTTGCTCTGCAGTGAGGCATCACGTCTGTCCTGGAATGCTTCTCAAATTCAAACACCGGAATGTGTAAACAAGCCAGACCGTGAGCATTCCTGCCGAGACGCCCGGGGCTAGGGGTCCCCCGCATCATGTGGGCCTCACCGTGTCCTGCCTGATCAATGCCTCGAGTCCCTGATGTCCTTGCTCCTCTCTGTTTCTGTGCCCCCCCTCCCCCACCGTGTGGGCAGAGCACTGTTTGCTCACCATTGAGCCCTGCCCCTGGTAATGATGGTTGAACGAGGGGGTGAATCTAACCCTATCATGCCAGGTGTGTGCCCGGTGGCTGGTGCAGCCAACTGCCTCTGCTGGCCCTGAGGTCCCCTGGCACCAGGGTCACTGGGGCTGGCCTGATCCTTGGCCCCTTCTTCCCTCACGAGGCCCCTGGAACTTACCAAGTGGGCCCGCCTCCCTGGCTTACCTGCGCTGCTTGGCTGGGGCCACACGCTCTTGCCTTGGGCTGGAAATGCACTCAGATGTGACTAAGTGGTCAATTATTCTTATTTAAGTGATTTTCAGGATTGCCGCTGATGCTGCTTCTGAGCTTGTTTGAGCAGCCCAGCCACACGGAACAGCCAGTTCCCTTCGGACTTTTTCTGGAGAGCAGAGCTCAGTTCCCCAGCAGCTTGGCATACCCAGGAAACGGCACAGCGTGGTGGCCGGGCGTCTTCTCCGTGGGTCTGAATGACTCCTGATGGCTCGCTGGCGTGGCTTCGGGTGCTGAGGGCTGGAGGCCTGGGCGCAGGGGGAGGGCTGGCGCTCCTTTCGGTCCACGGCAGAGTACACGGAAGGGACTGGCTCTTCCCAGCTCCCCGCCTGTTAGCTGTGTGTCCGGGGGCAAGGCAGCTCACGTCTCTGGTCTGTAAAAAGGAGATAATTTCTGGCTATGGTGAGGTGGCATGGAGAGTGTCTAGAGGGCTAGCAGAGTGCCTGCCGAGATGGGAAGTAAATGTTAGTGACATAAACTGGGTGAGCATTCCTTCCGCATAGCCTGGTCTCACACACGGCACTGAGACCTCATGCCCTAAATGCCACTCAAAGCTGCCATCCAAAATCAGACTGGATGTCCCTTTTCCTCCAGCACAGCAGACCCCCCCCTCCCCCGCTTGGCCCTGGGAGACCCTCCCCCGCCTGGCTTCTCTCCTTAGTCGAGGTGGCCGGCATACCTGTTTGACGTGGGACCCACGCTGCTGTGTTCTCTGGCCGGCACCGGGAGCTGGCAAGCTCTGCCCACGCAGAAGAAAGCATCCGAGGGCAGGCATGGGGCTCCTGCTCCTGTTCTCTCCCTGGGCCTGGGCCACGCCTCCGGGGCACGGCCTCAGTTCTCCTGCTTCATTGTGTCGCAAATGTTAAACTATTACAGTGTTGGGGGGGGGGGCTTTGAAGCTATTTCCAAGTACAGCAGTCCCCCTTTATCTGTGGTTTCACTTATCCGCAGTCAACCTCAGTCTGAAAATATAAAATGGGAAATTCCAGGAATAAAAAGGCAAGGGTGATGGAATCTCGTGCTGTCCAGCTCCATCCCTCCCAGGACACGAATCACGCCTTTGTCCAGCCTCTGCACGCTGTCCGTATCCCTGCCCGTAGTCACTCCGTAGCCACCTGGGTTACCCGATTGGTTATTGGAGAGAGAGAGAGAGAGAGAGAGAGAGACCATATTTCACGTACTTTTTATTA